CTGGTCTCCTGTCTTTTGCCGTGTGCTGAGGTTGCATTTTTGCTGGGTGTTGATCGCTTCACCTGGGAGTAGCGTTGGCTGCTTCATCTGCTTGTGACGAACCATGGGATCCATGGTTCGTTACAGTATAAAAACAGAAAAACAAAGCAAAAAGCAGGCAGAGGGCAGAAACAAACACGAATCAAAATGCGATGCATAATTATGCAAATTTAATTAATTTTCCATCGAGTTAGCGGCCATCTGAAGCCATGTCTACGGCTCTACGCGTCTTGCAAATGTCCTATGTCCTGTCCTATGGAAACAAAAAACAATCGCAAAATTCGATTTCGTTTCGATTTGATCACTGGTAATGGTTTTCGATTAACAAAAGAGACTTTGTGACCAAAATTACTTTTTTCCAAGATGATCAATCATACAAATACAGGCTTGGGATAATCGCATTGCACTAGTAGTTCTATCAAGTGGTGCGCTGAACGATAATTCGAATAATTAAAGATAATGAAGAGATCCATTTGCCAATCCTATTGTATCATTTATCGATTATTTATCCATCAAATCCATAGATTATGGCAATTCACACATAGCAGCAATGCTCTTCTGTAGATGTTCCACTGACTTCTTGGACACTCAATAAATGAATGAATGAATGGAGGATCGGTTCTCTTGTTGTGTTCTGTTTCTTTTTCCATTTCTATTGAATTTTCTTTTGGTGTTTTTATCTCCATTTAATTGCATGGCCGCAAAAAAATTAAACTAATTAACAAAACAGCAACAGAAACAAGGGAAAGAATAGGAAAGGAAAAAATTAATGAGAATGTGTGCGTGTGTTCCCAAAACGCATAGACAGACGCACGAGATATCTTTGGGGGAGAAATACTCCACAATGTATAGTGGGCATAGAGTTTATGTAGTCAGGGGCCGATTAGATATAGAGACCATATATGTAGTACATACAATACAAACGATCGTAGATGGCATAGTTTCCCCGCATGTTGCCTGTGCAATGCTTCGACGATGTTGTTGCAAAGTTGATAAGGTGGTCGACTGAAGACGACTGATAGTAAAAAAATATAATGGCGAATGGGTCTTAAGAATAGGTCTGCGGAATGGGCCTGCAACCATGTCTAAGGAGTGTGGAATGATCCCTTTTCATTTAGGTTTACACCATATTCCTCCGACCAGGCACTCGCATGGCTCCTAATACGAAATTTAGCATGTATTCATGGCAACACTAAGATACTTTCAGAAATTCAGAATTATGCATTTATTGTATAGTTGTATATTATACAATATATATTATTGTATATTGTATAAATAATAAATGGGTAAATGTATATAAGTTATAATCAGTGACTGACGAATCAGTTAAGTAAAGAGAAAAATAATGTAATGATAGTATAGAGATATAAAAAGGAATATATGATACAAAAATATTAAATATTTAGATTAAGTATGTAGTATGAGGAATCTTATCAATAAGTAAATTCATTTCTTTTCTTTTTTCGACTGATTTCAAAATTTCAAGAAATAATCAGGAAAGCTTCGTGACAGAAGGTCAGTGGAGAACATGCACAATGGCAAGGTGCAGATGTAAATATTAGGGAACTCATTAATGGCTAAAGGCCAATGCAAAGCAAACGGGTACCACCTTCATTAATCTCAGGGCTTGATTTCAATTTTTAGTTCATCACTTCCGATATTAGTTACGTTGCTCCACGCAGAAAGATCTTTCCTTGTGTTAGCTGTGCTGGGATGAGTAAATGAATGGTTAGATGAGCGATTAGATGAATGATGGTCTCTGTGAAATATAATAGTGTTAATACGAGTTCCCAAAAATATTCAAATACACTTAGACCTTGACATGGATATTCTTTCATTAAATAAAAATTCAAAATTAAACTCAAATATGGTCATATCAGGTCCTAATTATACCCATATAATCTAATACCAAGGCAGCAGAAACAGTTGCTTCAGCTTAGGGTGCAGAATCCAGATAATGCCAAGTGAAGACGTCGAGGCGTTGAGGTCAGTAACCTGCAGGCACTCCGTCGAGGCTGGCACTATGGGGCGGACATAGATGGTGCTGCGGCACGGCACCTAACGGATCCAGCAAAACCCTTCACTGCGACATGAAAGCCTCGCTTGGCGTCTCAGACCGTGAGGGCGCACAGTTCACCAGGTGGCTATGATCTCCTATAGGAGGCTGCTCAATGTAGTGGCAAGCCTATCGGTACAGCCGGGCGTGGAGAGTGGTTCAAGGGCAAAGCCCGAGGAACACCCTTCGGCGACGTTACTTGCAAAACGCAATTAGTGGTGCTAAGTCCTATATATACAGAGGAACACTTTAAAACCAAATATTGGAAATGAGCGGCTTGATATTTACCCCAATGGGAAATGCACCACTTTAATCGAAAACGTGGATTTCTTCTCCAGGAGGGATGATACGAGCGTTGTGGCTGACCACGCAGGTGCTGCCGTGGTCTTGGGGTTAGGTACACCTCACGCTGCATCGAAAAATTTTGCGACAATTCACTTTTTTAGACCACTGGATATCGGTTGAAATATGAGTATACTCACAGATGTAGCCCGAATATGAATGGTTGGAAAATTTGTCTTTTAACTGGCGAGCACAACTATCTCAATTAATCAGCGTGGTGTCTGGCTGTATATAGGGTTAAGATTCATCTATTATACAGAGCACCAGAATATCGCACTACTGAACTCTTTGACGATCACGAGGAGAAAGACAGACTCCCGGAACAGAATTGTGCAGCAGCCCACGTTTTTTCTTCCCTCCATTACAGTACATTTTGCCTTGTACTTCGAATAAAAGCAATTAGCAATAAATATAAGCACAGTGCAGAATCAAAACAGCGGGATGGCGTTGCCACTTTTTGTCAAAACATATTGTTCGGCTAAGCGCCGGCCCATGGCAGCACAATGAGCAATGTGACCATATGTAACATCTCTTAAATGTAACGTCTCTCTTTATTACCGTTTTGTTTGCTTTGCTTATGCTCTATCTGGTGCTTTGCTCTCTGTCGGCGTTCGACAGCCGCTGTGGGGGAGGCTCGTCAGAGAAAGCAGCAGACACTTCAGATTCGATCATCACCGTAGTAAAACGTTTTGCTGTCTGGCACAGTGACCTGCCTGCCACAGAGTTCTGAACTAAACCTTACATAAACCTAACAACTTCAACAGTCTTGAACCGGCCCCCGCGTCTTCAATCGACCCATCGTTAACTCTCGTTATCAAATACGCACACCTTTCGCTAGTTTTGGATAAAACATATATATTAACTTAAGTACAATAAACTGTGAATATATTAACTGAACAATCGTCGTCTCTTAAATAATCTGGCAAAACAACGCTACTGAAGAAGCTCAGTAGCTCAACATTTGGTGACCCCGACGTGATAGAAACTCGTTAAATTTTATCACAAAAAACATAACATTTTCGTTGGATAAATTTTCTTTGAACCACGGTTTTTCGGTTTGTCGTATGTGCACAAGCAACAGAAACGGTTCTCGCGTCATCTGCTTTGCGGTCTGCTTGCTTGCTGCTGTTTCGTTTCTGTTTCGTGCTCTCAGTGTGCATGCCTTTGTTGTTTTCGGATGCACAAGTGCAGTGCGTTTCAAACTGTTAGCTCAATCTCGCCCCCCTTACCTTTGTTCGTCGATTCGGAAGCTGCATTCAACAAGCGCAAGGTGCAATCCATGGTAGGAGTAGCACGGAGAATGGAAACTGCCGTCGGCAAGGAGAGGATTGGCGAACTCAGTGAGGAGGAGTTAAATGTGCGATTAAAGTTGCTAGCGGATCTGGTCGCTTCGTTCAACGAGCACCATAATGCCCTGGAGAGGATTGATCTCGATGAGATTGGCAGTCCCTTGAGGGAGGAGTTTGACGAATGCGTGGTCATGCTGGAAATTCGCATGAAGCGTGAGTTGAACAAGCGGCAGCCCACAATGCTCCCATGCTCAACAATGCGGATGACACACTTTCAGAGGAAACTAGGAAACTCATTAATGCCGGATCATCATCTACGATCCCATTAAGCATTTGCCAGATATTGATTTATGGATTAATAATTCAATTAACAAGCGTTTCTCTCCCTCTCCCTCTGTCTCTGTCACTCTCTTTGCAGGTATGTGACTGTTTTGCGATTCGTTTCGCTTTGATTTCGATATTCAGATTCCGAGATTCGATTGAGGATTGGGATTGGGTAAGGTAAACAACAGACTGCTTGACGCTTGGACCCTGCACCCGTGTGCCTCCCCGCCTTCAGTGGCCATCTGTAAATGAGCCCATTAGCTGTAAAAAGACAAATTTTTGCCCCCGCACAGAAGCCCCCACACGCGACAACAACGACGACGACGACAACCGACGACAACCGACGACTTTTGACCAAAAGCCAAACTTGATTTAATTCCTGTATCTGTAGCTTTAGCTTTAGCTAATGTACCTGTGTATCTGTGAGTGTTGCAAATGAAACGTGCCGCCAAAAAAGAGTGGAAGAAGAAACAAAAAGCCTGGAATCGAAAAAAAAATTCAAAAAGAAAAACAAATAACTTTAGACTTTGGCAAACGAATGAATTTCTTGGCTCTTGATTCCCAAAGAAAAAAGGCAGTAATAGCAGAAACTTGATCTTGAAGGACGTTTTAGTAGTTAGACGGAAGAATGATAGATAAATAGAGATACAGATAAGGACAGATAAAGAGTTTGACAGAGAGAGAACTTATTTTACGTTTTTAAATTAATTTTAAAATCTTCAATCACAAAATATGGCAATAAATGCACGCCTGCAGCCTGCTAAGCCACATTTGAAAAGAGAGCATAATAATAATAGTCCAAACCATCAATAATGTAACAAACCCTTCAAAGCCAATCCCATTGTAGATTTTCCCTTGGATAAGGCACAGCAGGCACTCACTTTGCTCTCTCCTCCCAAAAAGTATACTTTGTACAATAAATTCTATTGCTATTAAAACTGCTTTCAACCATGTACTACATGGATAATTTGCCCACTTACAAGCTGGTCGTTGTGGGCGATTGTAAAACGGGCAAGACCTCATTGATAAATCGACTCCTCACAGGCCGTTTCAATGCGAATTCCTACTATTGGCCGACAATAATGCACACTGAACAGGATCTCGTGTTCCAGACCAAACGTGGACCTGTTCGCTTCAATGTTTTTGACACCACCGGTGAGCACAAGCATCCCGTACTGGGCCGCATGTACCATAGAGGCAGTGACTGTGCCATCATTATGTGCGATCTGACCGACGAGGAGACCTGTGACAATGTGGTCCTGCTGGAACACCCAACTGTGGAACGATTGCGGCCGCATTCCCACTGTCATTTGTGGCAACAAGGCGGGCGACCCCAACCGCACCGTTTTCAAATTTGATCCAACAATCCGCAAGTCGAATATGCAGTACTTTGACATCTCGGTTAGCAGCAACTACTGCTGCTCGGAGCCCTTCATTCATCTTTACTATCAGCTGATGGGCGAGCGTTTCCATTTTGTTACTTTGTTGCCGCCAAACGGGCTTGCAGCCATTCAGGAGGCGGACGAGCCCCAACAGAAAGACGATCGCGATTGCGATTGCGATAACGAGACGCATAAGAAAGAAAAAGATGATCTTGACAAGAAGAATGCTATCATAGAGAAAGTTAAGAAGTTTCTTAAGGAGAAGAACTGGGCCCTCGGGATGGACAAAGCCCACTGCGAGGAGTACAACGAGACACTGAAGAAAGACAGCGACGATCTTGAGGAGCAGATCGTAAACAATGAATAAGTTTCAATTTGATTGTTTTCCCAAAATTGTTTTAGTTTCTGTGCAAAAAGAAAAAGTTTATTGACTACTTTTGTTGTTGTTTCGAGACCACTAGAATTCGGTGCGATATGAGAAGTTTTCATACTCTAATGCTCTCTCTTGCGGTGTAGCTGGCAGGTGCATATATAGTTATGTCATATTCTGTCAATTTGTGGGGTTGCCCTTTGGCCCCAGCGGCTGCTAACTATTATTGTGTGTATGAGCCCATATACAGTGGAACACCTGAAGTTGTAGGCATAGAGTCAAAAACCTTGCACTTTGGACCCCTCGCCCATTCCGCCTTCATGGAATCGGTTTGGCAGTCATTGATCTATTGTCAGTCGCGTCGCAGTGGGGCAGCAAAGGTATATCACGAAGAGCGGTAAGCTGCCAAATGAGTTGCGGCCACTTGCTAAGGCATTGCCCTACCTTATATTAAAATGTACCTTGTTGACAGCGACGACTGCATTAGGCATCAGAGGCTATGACCAAAGACAATATAAGAATAAGATACATACCGCCACACGCCACACAGGCTGGCTTTAGAGCTGGCTCCAGGCTCTCTTGAGCCTCTCTTTTTTTAGAGAGAGAGAGCGCTCTAGAGCCAGCCGCTCTCTTGTATGCATACAGCATACGAAGGCACACGAAGTTGGTTCTTTGCCGCTGCGACAGCCGAGCCGCGTCGTCGCGACGACTGTATGTGTGCACATGCATAAGTTTTTTTACAGCGCTTACCACCCCAATTTTAAAAAACTCTTATATTGTATATCCCTCCAATGATAATTTCTTTTAACATGGTATATTCGATAATAATGAGCGGATATACATATATAACGAGAAGGAACGTGCTACTTATACCCGTACTCAGTCAGTATATACATTTTTGAGCATATGATTTTTTAGAATTTTAGAATTCAAACGAGAAGGAACGTGCGAGTCGCTTCTGGGGACGCGACTCTACTTATACCCGTACTCAGTCAGTATATACATTTTTGAGCATATGATTTTTAAGAATTTTAGCATTAAACGAGAAGGAACGTGTGAGTCGTTTCTGCGGACACGACTCTACTTATACCCGTACTCAGTCAGTATATCCATTTTTGAGATTATGATTTTATAGAACTAAAAAAAAAAAAAATTTTACATTTTACATTTTTTTGCTACATCTGATATCTACATCTACATATACAATGTCTATTCTACATCTAACATGTAGATTGTACATGTTCCATTCATATTCTACATCTCCTCCGCTAGGGGTTGCTCGCGCACTGAACGCGGCAGAGTGTGCGAGCGAGAAGGAAAATGAGTTGCGTTGTCGTTGGCAGGAGGTGGCAGGGGAAGCAACAGAAAATTAATTTCTTCATTCTTAACAAAAAAGAGTTAAGGGGTATATTAGATTTATGGTAAAAGTGGATGTGTGTAACGCAGAGAAGGAAACGTTTCCGACCCCATAAAGTATATATATTCTTGATCAGCATCAATAGCCGAGTCGATATAGCCATGTCTGTCTGTCCGTCCGTCCGTCCGTCCGTCCGTCCGTCCGTCTGTCCGTCTTGTTGAGCGCCTGGATCTCAGAGACTATAAGAGTAAGGCTAACCAAATTTGGTTTCCAGACTCATGTGATATCACACTGCTACAAGTGTATTTCAAAATTTTGCCCCGCCCCCTTCCGCCCCCACAAAGGACGAAAATCTGTGGCAGGCACAATTTTAAAGATACGATAAAACTAAAAACGCAGTATCGTTGAAAATGCCAATATCTACCAGATTGCCGAATCTGAATCAGATCGGATCATAATTATAGCCAGAAAGAAGAAATTAATTTTCAGTTGCTTCCCCTCCCCCTCCCGCAGAGACAACACAACTCATTTTCCTTCTCGCTCGCACACTCTGCCGCGTTCAGTGCGCGAGCAACCCCTAGCGGAGGAGATGTAGAATATGAATGGAACATGTACAATCTACATGTTAGATGTATAATATAAATAGTATATGTAGATGTAGATAACAGATGTAGCAAAAAAATGTAAAATGTAAAATTTTTTTTTTTTTTAATTCTAAATAATTATGTATATGCTCAAAAATGTATATGCTGACTGAGTACGGGTATAAGTAGAGTCGCGTCCCCAGAAGCGACTCGCACGTTCCTTCTCGTTTTCCATCGAGTTAGCGGCCATCTGAAGCCATGTCTACGGCTCTACGCGTCTTGCAAATGTCCTATTTCCTGTCCTATGGAAACAAAAACCAATCGCAAAATTCGATTTCGTTTCGATTTGATCACTGGTAATGGTTTTCGATTAACAAAAGAGACTTTGTGACCAAAATTACTTTTTTCCAAGATGATCAATCATACAAATACAGGCTTGGGATAATCGCATTGCACTAGTAGTTCTATCAAGTGGTGCGCTGAACGATAATTCGAATAATTAAAGATAATGAAGAGATCCATTTGCCAATCCTATTATATCATTTATCGATTATTTATCCATCAAATCCATAGATTATGGCAATTCACACATAGCAGCAATGCTCTTCTGTAGATGTTCCACTGACTTCTTGGACACTCAATAAATGAATGAATGAATGGAGGATCGGTTCTCTTGTTATGTTCTGTTTCTTTTTCCATTTCTATTAAATTTTCTTTTGGTGTTTTTATCTCCATTTAATTGCATGGCCGAAAACAATTTAAACTAATTAACGAAACAGCAACAGAAACAAGGGAAAGAATAGGAAAGGAAAAAATTAATGAGAATGTGTGCGTGTGTTCCCACGAGATATCTTTGGGGGAGAAATACTCCACAATGTATAGTGGGCACATAGAGTTTATGTAGTCAGGGGCCGATTAGATATAGAGACCATATATGTAGTACATACAATACAAACGATCGTAGATGGCATAGTTTCCCCGCATGTTGCCTGTGCAATGCTTCGACGATGTTGTTGCAAAGTTGATAAGGTGGTCGACTGAAGACGACTGATAGTAAAAAAATATAATGGCGAATGGGTCTTAAGAATGGGTCTGCGGAATGGGACTGCAACCATGTCTAAGGAGTGTGGAATGATCCCTTTTCATTTAGGTTTACACCATATTCCTCCGACCAGGCACTCGCATGGCTCCTAATACGAAATTTAGAGAAGAATGTAATGATAGTATAGAGATATAAAAAGGAATATATGATACAAAAATATTAAATATTTAGATTAAGTATGTAGTATGAGGAACCTTATCAATAAGTAAATTCATTTCTTTTCTTTTTTCGACTGATTTCAAAATTTCAAGAAATAACCAGGAAAGCTTCATGACAGAAGGTCAGTGGAGAACATGCACAATGGCAAGGTGCAGATGTAAATATTAGGGAACTCATTAATGGCTAAAGGCCAATGCAAAGCAAACGGGTACCACCTTCATTAATCTCAGGGCTTGATTTCAATTTTTAGTTCATCACTTATGATATTAGTTACGTTGCTCCACGCAGAAAGATCTTTCCTTGTGTTAGCTGTGCTGGGATGAGTAAATGAATGGTTAGATGAGCGATTAGATGAATGATGGTCTCTGTGAAATATAATAGTGTTAATACGAGTTCCCAAAAATATTCAAATACACTTAGACCTTGACATGGATATTCTTTCATTAAATAAAAATTCAAAATTAAACTCAAATATGGTTATATCAGGTCCTAATTATACCCATATAATCTAATACCAAGGCAGCAGAAACAGTTGCTTCAGCTTAGGGTGCAGAATCCAGATAGGTTAGGTTAGGTTTATAGGGCTGCTCGACTGAAGTCGAGGTCACTCGGAGGCAAGTCTGCCCATTGTGATGCCCACACTCGTCACGGGATATTGTCCGGTGCCTAGGGAGGTTTCGCGAACCATCCCGAGGCCTCTATAAAGAGCACCAGTTTCTCTAGAGGCATGTTTGCCAGGCTGTCCAGATCTTCGTAGAAGGCGCCACCGAGTATTCGGTGACGTCTCCCCATGAGTGCAGGACAGTTGCAGAGAAGGTGCTGGATGCTCTCTATTTCCTCCTCGTCCCCGCAGCTGCGGCAGAAGTCATGGTGGGGCAGTCTGTACCTTGTGGCCATGCGGCCGATGACACAGTGCCCCGTTATAACTCCCGTAGTGTTCGCACCCGACTCTTCCTGAAGCTTAGGAGAGTCTTGGTGCGTTTAAGGTCGTAGTGGGGCCAGAGCGAGCGAGAGATCTCACAGTTTGGTGTGGTGTTCCACCTCCTGTCCGATCTCGTTCTGGATCGGCCCATCATCTGCGAGATGATGTCTCGTAGTGGTCTCCTTATGTCGCTGACTGCGTCCGCCATTGGCTTGGCCGATCCATTTCTGGCACACTCGTCCGCACTCTCGTTGCCCGCTATGTCGGTGTGACCCGGAACCCACGTGAGTGTGATTGAGTGCGCGCTGATCTGGTTTAGTGCGTCCACCGTATCACGTACGAGTCTGCTTGTGGTCTTGCAGGATACCAGGGCTTTGATGGCAGCTTGACTGTCAACGCAGATTGCTATGTTCCTCGGAGGTATCTCCAAGGTGTATGTCAGGATGGGTCTTATTACCGCTGTATACATCCATTGGATGATGTGCGGCTGTAAGCCCCATGTTCGTCCAAAAGTCTTCCTACAGGTTTAGAAAGCTGCCATTGCCTTTTTCTTCCTTTCCTCCGTGTTTCTCTTCCAGGAGAGTTTGGAGTCAAGGATGACACCAAGATACTTGGCTTCGCTCGATAGCTCGAGTGTCGTTCCACCGATTGCTGGTAGTTTGAAACTCGGTATCTTATATCTTCGTGAGAACAGCACCAGTTCTGTTTTTTGAGGATTGACCCCCAAACCGTTCTGGTGTGCCCAGCTGGCGGTAGTGCCCAGTGCAGATACCAGAAGGTCACTGATTGTGGGCAGAAATTTACCCGTTACCAGTATTACTAAATCGTCTGCATAGGCCGTAACCTTATATCCGCTCCTCCCCAGCTGAAGAA